GGCAATATTGTATGTCTTAAGGTGGTTTTCCATCGGCGAGGCGAGACGAGACGAGGAGAGACGAGAATTGAAATCTCGCCGGTCTATTTCCACCAAAAGTTGTCAAGATCGTCATCGCGGTCTCGCGCGAAATCGCGCTGTGATTGTGGGTAGTGAAGATTCAGTGCTGTACAGTTTATCTAGCGATAAATATACGGCTGAAGTAACATGTCCCGTACGAGTGCGAGCACTCGCGAGAAATCGTGTTTCCGTTGCTAAGTTTAATATTCTGTGTAGGCAGCAATACGGCTCAATATTACATCAACAATTATTTCAATTCTCGCCTCGCCCATCCTCGTCAATCCAGACCATTTCCACCGAAGACAGGCTATGAGAGAATCGAAATTTTGTCATACAAATTTCAATCCTTGTTTCGCTTCGCCGGTGGAAAGCCTCGTTAATGAACAAAAGTACTTTAAAATCAGTCAAATCCGGAACAGTCAACAACAAGCTCCGAGTAGGTATTTGGTTTGACCGTGTCGGCCATATTGTTTTCTCTTCTTTAGGCGGGTGAAGAATTTTGTGCCGAGTTTCGCTAAAAAACGAAAAATAAAGGAGGGAATTGACGTGTCTGTAATGACGTCTCTCATGCTTACAACTTGCAACCTTCGTAAAGCGGGATTCTTGACTTTAGGTTCGGGTGCCATGCATTCCTAGCTACTACCAATTTTTCTTCTTTTATTGTGGTCATAGAAAAAGCTTTTTTTATAATATCTAGTATATCTATTTATAATAGTCGTCTGGTGGGCGGAAAATCAGCTCTCAATGGGAGAGATGAATGTTGACGTAAACAGCATCGAAGGATAAATATTTTTCTTACAGTGAGTACATTAGCGTCTACATAAAGTTGTGAGGTGGGGTATCTGTACGGTTTCCTGAGCACTGCCCTTTGCGCTCGCTCTAAATTTATAAATGACGTTTTATAGGTACCTCCCCAAATTGGGATACAGTAAGATAGGAGAGGAGTACATAGATTTCGCGGACACTAAAAAGCACTCAAAGGCACTCAAACGCACTCAAGGCACTTGCGGCCACTCAAAGACACTCCTGGCTCTCGCGGGCACTCAAAGGCACTCGCGGACACTCTCAGAGGCAGTTGCACGCACGCCTAGCTACCTCGCACATCTCTGGTGAAATCACAGCCTAATCGAATCTTGAATGTTACATTACAAGCGAATGTTCTCTGAGAGGGAGCGCCTTCATTCTATATACGAAGCTGAACAATTGTACAAAAAACGAACCAACTTAGTAAGTTGAAAAAAAAAAATCCGTACAAAATGTTAGACGTCTAATTATTGTGTGGAGACAATTTTTTTTAACAACTACGCATTTTAATAATAATAAGGTTCACGCAAAAATAAAGGAATTTACGGTACTTTTATCACTGCGTATGTATAGAAAAAAGGTATAAACAAGCACTATATTTATATTCATTCAAAAATATTTATCCACGTTTTTGGATAAATATCGAGTAAAAATGGATCAATATGGATATTTATCCTTATTTATCTTTCTGCTGAGTATTTATCCCAATAGTATTTATCCATGATCCTTCTCTTTATAGACCTAATTTTAATGATACCTACGTTCTAAGCCTATACCGAAGCAGTTTAACATTTAATTTTTTTTCATTTAGATTTTAATTTTAAGAATTTATTTTTCAATAAATCTTTAATTCCATCACATAGACAAGCCAAACTGTTACCTACTCACATCGAGTAGTTATGTATGACGTTAAGTAGAAAACGTAAAAATCAAGTGCTTTTTATTACATCTTTTATAATTCTTTCATAGTTAGTTCCGAGAGTTATGAAATCCCAATTCTTTTTATTAAGGTCTGATTGCACAACACGACATTTTGGATAACCAAACTTTTTGCATTTGGTGTTTGGTAATCCAAGTCAAGTTACAATTTATAATGAATATCTATCCTGTCCCTATAATTGTACGATGGACTTAATTGGACGCGTGGTCACGACCGACTAACTGACACCCATGGAATCTATAAACAGCCCAAAACGTTGGTTTATTTAAAAAAGAAAACGGGTTTGTAATGCAGTTTATAACATATTTGCTCGTAAAGTGGCTGAAATCACACCAATTTCAATATCGTAATGTATTTCATTACGCACCTGTGCGTTGTTGTAATGTAAAACGCACAAGTACGTTATTGTAATGTAAAACGCACGAGTTTTTTTTTAATAAAGTAACATGCACGGTTTTTTAAGATGCTCCGTCTAAAAATGAACGATACTTTTTTAAATCTTTGCAAAGAGTTTTTATATTAGAAAAGTGGTCAATATTTTATGAATAAAATTAACTTTGGGAGATAAAATATAGTAAATAAACATTTAATTCTTTCATTTAATTAATTTTGACAATAAATTACAACCATTTATCTGTAACAAAAACACAAAAATATTAATTTACATTATTAGTAATACTGGCTATTTTTATACCTTTGCCTAAAAAAAAACGTTGATGCACGCGCATGGCTAATTCGTGGACAAGTAAAAATTATTTCGCGCGCTTTTTCTTTTCGCTGTATTGTTTTTATTTGAAAATGTCGTCAAGTAGTGATGAATTTATTAATTTGACACCGCCACAAGTCTTAAACGCAGCGAAAAAGGCTACTCTTAGCCTCTTACCTGAAAAATCGACCGATAGATACTTACAAGCGTAATCAAAATTTCATCATATGTAAAACAAGCAAAGATGCAAATTCATTTTCAGAAAATGTGTTTTTAGCCTATTTCATGGAACTTTCTCAAAAATATAAGTCAAGCTCATTGTGGTGCTACTATTCAATGCTAAAAAGCACTATGAAAACAAACCATGGTATTGATATCAAGTCATACTCCAACTTGATAGCATTTCTAAAAAGACGCTCAGATGGCCATGTAAGTAAAAAGTCGAAAGTATTTTCGGCTGACAAAATCAAGAAGTTCCTAAAAGAAGCTCCGGATTGGCGATGTTTGGCAACAAAGGTCGGTTGAAACTAAATTATTGTTATTAATTTCTTTCACTTTCGTATTTCTTTACAATATAGGTGTTTATACGTTATTTTTATCTCTTTTCAGGTTGTATTAATATTCGGTATAAATGGTGCATGTAGACGTCAAGAGTTGGCAAACATAACAACTAGGTAATGATGTCGAGAACCATGGTCCAGGTCAAAAACACAAAAAATAAAATTCCAAGGTCGTTCACAATACACGGGCCTTTTTACGACGTAGTGAAGAAATACGAAGCGCTTCGTTCAACAAAAGCTAATCACAACAGATTTTTTCAAAATTACCAAAATGGAAAATGCACTAACCAACCCATTGGCATTAATAAATTGGGAGCAATGGCGAAAGAAATTGCCACTTTCTTAAATTTGCCTCAAGCTGTGTGCTTCAGGGCACAGTTTCAGAAGGTTCGGCTACATTACTCGCCGATTCAGGTGCGGACTTATTGACACTAAAACGCCACGGAGGATGGCGGTCAAGCAATGTAGCCGAAGGATACATAGAAGACTCGATAAGAAATAAAGAAGAAATTAGCTCTCGCATTACAAGGAACATAAATTTGGAGTCAAGTGTTGACTTTCAACCATCTACGAGCACACACGCGTACATTTCACCATCATCGCCGCAGCCGCAACCGCCTCCGCCGCCGCCACCGTCTGCAGAACTCTGTGGTCTCGTTTCTCCTACTTTCACTCAAGAGAGTGAGAGAGAGACTGGGGAGATTGTAACTAATAATAATAACTTGACAATATTAAAAATGCCAACTGGCAACGTAACAATCACTTTTAAAAATTGTTCAAATTTCTGTAACTGCTTTAACAAGTAATTAAAGATTTATTCGTTTAAGAAAGTCAGAGTCTTATTTATTTCCTCGCAAATATGTTATAAAACGTCGTATGACATACGTGCGCTTTGAAAATTACAGCCTAGCAATATCGCCTCGGCTGTAATTTTCAACTTATCGCACTTATATCATAATGTACTATTATATGCGAAAAAGTTAGTCCCGGATTTAAATCCGGTAAAATAGTTTCATTTCCTATGTGCAACAATCGCGAAAACCTAAGAACTCGATACGTAAATATTAATTTTTAAAATCTTAAAAAGCTTTAAACAAAGAAAGTTGCTTTTATCGTATACAAAATGAAGCTGGAACAGAATGCCATTCAGCCAAACTACGTAAAGGCTTAAAAGGACCGTAAGGACTGTGAAGACATGTTCTTAGTCGGTTATGATCTGTTAGCCAGTTGATTGAAGAATCAGGTCAAAGGGTTGCGAATTGTGACTGAATATTTTGCTTATCACACGATAAGTTGACATTATTTAGGTAACAGTGTCAATATCGAATTTATGTTCTCAATAGCCAAGATACTTAATTTAGGTACATTCATGTTTATGTTATATTATTCGCCTTACAGTATAATTATGTCTAACAGACATTTAATACGCTATAGACTGGTATTAATTTAATATTGTTTCAACAGGTGTGTAGATGGCTACACACCTACAGTCACCCTGAAATGAACGCAACATGTTTACCTTTTTATTATACCTTTCGTAGGTAATTAATTCTTCCAACAGTTTCGATACGGGAAACTTATGTTTATTGATACGACAGGACAGAAGGTCAACGTCGGACTATTTGGTTGATGCTATAGATTTCTAATGAAAAAAATAATGTGTTCAGATTTATAAATAATGCATGTTGCCCCTCCAATATTATTATTATCATTGTCATAAGTAAGGTAAACTTGTCACGGGCGTCTGCAGCAAAAACGACAATATTGAAATGTGAATTTCGTTATACACTGTAAGCAATATCGAACAGAAAGAACTAAGTTAAAAACAGCTAGGCTCTTTTGATACGATGCTTTACTTTTATCAAATGCTATGCTGAAACCATCTTTTATATTTTACTTGTTTTGTTGATAACATTTTATTTGTTTACAGGATGAGACTGGAAGATTGATGAGAAGAAATATAGTCAGATATGCCATTTTAGCTTACGTAATTACGCTTCAGAGGGTTTCGCTTCGAGTAAAACGGAGATTCCCTACGTGGCAACATGTTGTTGATTCCGGTAAGTGCGCAGGGCACGTTGGTATCCAAGTAAGCCAATTAAAAGCCAAAATCAACGATGTTTTCTGTTTCAGGTCTAATGCTGGAAAGCGAAAGGAAGGTATTCGAGAAGATGGACGGAAAGAGTCCTATGTCAAAGTATTGGATGCCATTGGTGTGGGCGACGAACATAATCAATCGCGCGCGCAAGGAAGGGTTGATTACTAGTGACCACATCGTGCAGACTCTTCTCGTCGAACTGTCTGACATAAGAAGGCGGCTAGGTGCTCTCATTGGCTATGACACTGTCTGCGTACCACTAGTGTATACACAGGTAAAAATGCTGATGAATTGTACAAAAAATGAAAGGAATCTTTAAGATTCTAAAATTATAAAAATTCATAGTTGCCAATCTCTCTATATAGATAGTTATTTGATCAAAAAAGGTTTTTAATTTTAATTATAAAATAAATTGTGGTTGTACATCTAACCGATATCTAGGATTTTATAATACTCTATGTGAGTAACAAGCTTTGCCGAATAAAACTGAGCAATGCTAAAGTCAGGTGTTATGCTCATTTCAGTCAATTCAAAACTTTAAAATGCTCCCTTGTAAACGTGAGAATTTCGACATACGATACTTTACGTAGGAGGAGTCGACATTACAAAATATTAGAAAATGGTGTTGTAGGTGATTAAGTATATTTATGCATGCACCTATTTAATGTAAGGTTCTGCATGGTGTCAATTTGGGATTAATGAAATTTAGTTTTAGGAACACAACATTCGTAGCTAATTTTGTTACCAAGAGATAAATAATTTGGCAATATCTCAGGAGTAATCGGCGAAAGCGACAAAATGATGAAACCTCGATTTGTGTAAAAATTAACAAGTTAAAAAAACAATCACATTTAAGTAAAGTGGGTGTAACAATTAAAAATCGTTTCTAGATTTGGAGATAAAACTACAACAACATTCAGATTTATTTTAGCTGTTTTCAATAATAAATCTATCGATAAAAGCATACATAATCATCATCAAAATATCAAATTTGTATCTTTTTCCTTTCCTGATCCATGTTGTTTTTGACACAAAATCATAAATATCCTTTTAAGTAAGAATAACATGCGATTTATCTATGAAGAATAAATACATAGTGCTACTCAAGATTTAACTCATCAGATAAAAACTTAATTACATCGTGTAACAACCAATTACTTCTAGGCTTGTTGACTGCAGTCGGTCAACTATTGCTCGTTTCGTAGGTAGGTAGTAACAAAGAATAAAGTAATAGTGAAATATCTATGTAATATTTTACGTCTGTTGGTGGTACTTAGGTAGGTACTTATTGTGGTGTCTTTAGAGAAAAATGAAAATCTTCATTTGCATCTGTAACTGCCAACATGAATTGCCACTCTTATTTGTTTAAACCAACCCTTACACGTCCATTTCTCATTTAAGGATTTATCCTTGGATTAATGGTTTTGTTATAACCTCTACTCACTGTAGTTGCATTGTGATTATTAGTTATTAGTTTCTGTACGCTAATTCCTATTTATAACGATGTTGTGATGTGTTATCAATAGATAACACATCACAAAACAATGACTGTAGTTGGTATGCGGGCGAGGTCTCACGTTTCTAAATAACCTCACGTGAGCTTGCAGCGTTTATTCTAGATTTCATTGCGTCGCATCGAATTCTGGCTCATTTTGAACTACTTATACATAAACTGTTTGTACATAAATATGTATTCGATTGTACATGCATGCACATTTATGCTCATCAACGCCGGCGTTCCGCGAGGATTTGTGCTATCACCAACCCTGTTCATCCTGCATACCAATGATTTGTTATTAACTAGTATGATTCATTGCTATGCGGATAACAGTACCGGTAATGCCTTATTATACAGGTCGCATAAATATGCCCCACCAGGAAGTGGAACAAAACAGACTGCAACTTGTGTCTAAAATCGAGACTTCTTTGGAGCAGGTGTCAGAATGGGGCCGACAGAATCTAGTAAAATTTAACCTCGCAAAGACACAATGCGCGTTTACCGCTAGAAATCCCCATTCGTAATAGCGCCAAAGTCACAGAACACTGCCCTTACCGTCTCAAAGAATATTGGGATACTTATAGTCGACATCACGAACGAAGTCCAGTTCCGCAGTCATTTGGAGAGCAAAGCCAAACTGGCTTCTTCGGAGTGCTCAATAAAGCGAAGCAGTACATCTCTCCAGGTCACCGAATTTTGTTACCTATATAAAATACAAATACGGCTCCATATAGAGTATGGCTGGCATCTCTGGGCAGGAGCTCCCAAATACCAGCTTGATCCACTTGACTCTATCCAACGTAGGGCTGTTCGTATGACCCCAAACTCACAGACGGTATGGAGCCCCTTAGTTTACGGAGAGACGTTGGCTCTCTGTGTGTGTTTTACCGTCTTTATAATGGAAAGTGCTCTGAGGAACTTTTCGAACTGGTGCCACCGTCTCGTTTCTACCACCGTACCTCCCGCCAAAGGAGTAGAGTCCATCCCCACATTTTAGATGCCTGGCATTGTACGACCACGCGGACATCTCGTTCGTTCCTTCTTCGAACCTGCAAGATGTGGAATGATCTTCCTCCTGAAGTATTTCCTTTGCGCTATGACATGGGTTTCTTCAAAATGCGTGTTTACAGGGCTCTCAAAGGCTGCCAACGCATAGGCAGCTCATCTGATGTTGCAAATGTCCATGGGCTACGATGACCACCTCGTCTGACCGTTTGTCTCCTTCTTTACCTAAAAAAAAACAGCGATAGCAACGGTTGAACGTCTGGTGACGCTATTTCGATACCTACGACTACAACGATACAATAGCCATTTTGTGGTGACATAATAATAACGCAATAGTGGTTAGTAATACATATGGAAATTAGGTTTTTATGTCTCGTTTACTTTAATAATGGAAGTTTTTTATGGTTACCTACTTCGATATGGAATTAAAGAATTAACAAACTAAGTTTGTTTAATTTTCACATAATTTCACTTTTATTCAGCACCTCATATGAATAATAATTCGGTTAGACAAACAACGTTTCAAAAAAGGTGATACTGCCGAAATCACTACACTCAGATCGAGTATAGACTCGATCAACAACCGGGCCAGGCGATTTCAACAAAGTTGTAAATATAGTAAAGGCGGCTTCCACAGGCCGTTTTACCACGGGCCGCGCCGAACGAGCTCGAGTCAAAATGCACTCCGTAGGAGGGCCGTCCCTGTTCTTGTCCGCGGTTGCCTGTTTTTAGATCCCCCGCCAGTGTCACCTACCATCACGCGCGTCGGCCCGAGACCGCCCGGACTCGCCCAAGGCCGCCCGGACTCGCCCGAGGCTGCCCGGAGTCGTCGGTGGCGTGAGCTCGGCCATTTTGCCACTGAAAAACGGGGCGTGGGATGCCGCCTTTACACAAGGAGGTGCAGTTTTTCGTTGCTGCCGATTTCATACGAGCATTTGCCTATACATACGCGTATATCGCACTGTTAATACAATAGTGTATTAACTCAAAAAGAGGACTTTCTCAGAATCAATGAAAAACGAAGTACTCAATTCCCGCAAAAAAATCATTAAAATTTATATGTTATAGTTTATTTTACACGCTTAAACAATTTCTCAAATATATTTAACAATAACATGGAGAAAATAATTTCATGTTTTTGAATAAGGATCATTTTGGCCAGACCTAGCTCACATAAAGTGTGTCTCATTTTGAGTTTAGTAGAAATCTTTTGCTTGTTTCTTACAATATTCTAACGACGGTTTTTTCGACGTGAAGAGAATCAAATTTTACGTTCAGTAATGATATAATATTAAATTACACATATTTTGAATTACAACACCATTGTAATAGTAGTGCGATATGTATATATCGCAATAGACCTGCGAATTACGTTATTTTAGTGGAAATCTCGAAGCGAATTATCTGTTATTTTGTAATATATTTTGTGGACATTTTTCCGGAAAATTTTCTGAAAAATTAAAAAAGTGGAAAAATATAATTCGAAGGTGAGTCTTCGAATTATATTTTTCCAATTTTTTTAAATATATGAGTATTATATTCTTCGTTTAGAAATATCTATTGAAATTTTATTTAGCGTGAATTAAAAAATAAAATAATTGTATAGCTAATAGCAGGTTAAAGAAAAACGAAATTCATAAGGATTTACTAATGATTTTTCTTTCTAGTTGTCCAATTATAAAGGAATCATAAATAAAAAATCTTTAAAATGGCTTCATAACTTTCGTTGAATATCTTCAACTTTTGACAGGTGTCAAACGTCAATGTGGAAAAATACAGGAAAAATGTTCGGAAAAATATTTTCTTTTCTGAAAAATATACATTTTTCAAAATAAAAATTTTTCCATGACCATGACTATAATAAATAGATACAATTCAGTTCACGTTTCGACTGAAATACGGGTTCTAAATAACTTAATACTATTTTTCCTGCATTAGCGCAGATTACTTATCTGACAGTTATGCAGTAGTGTGAAGACTTTCAAACTAAGCAATCGAATTTTTTATTTGGTTTTCCCCGTAGCCAGATTTTACTGTCTTCACGCATTTGCGCACTACATTCGATTCGTATTCGTTCCGAATCCGAGACTAAACAAATGTAGAAAACTCGGACCCATTTTCGATGTCGCTTGTGCACTAAATCCGATTCGAATCCTAGAAAATACGAATGTCGCTTGTACAGCGTCAAGAGCACGTCAAGCTTTACACTTTAGGCTTAAATCCAACTCTATGCCGCTTACGATAAGAACGATCCAAAGTACAAAGTGTCAAACTTGATGTGCTCTTGACTGTACACCTAAACATAAAAAGATCCTTGTGACATTTCGAACCGTCATTTCTTTGATTTGGAACTGATACGAATCGCACGTAGTTCGCAAACGCTCTAACTTTTAATGCTTACCATTCTTCAGAAAGTCCTTAAACATGCTCTTTCTTAGGATGTTTAATTTCAAGCAATACTTCGTCATTATATCAGCCCTCTGTGTGTTTTCTTTTAGTCGGCTGGATATTTACCAAGGATTGACACACAATTCTTTACGGGAAAGGCTTTACTTGTACCTTATCGCATACACTTCGCTAGAAATCAGCTGTAGCAGCTGAGTTCCTTGTGAAAGAGTTCGTGCAGGGAAGTACTCCGGCCTTACCTTCTTCTGCTACCAAACATTAATGTGTACATTACTGTGTTGGTGGTGGGGAAATTACAGGCACATGGGACTTATCAACTTATGTCTTAGGGTGACAGTCATAGTGGCAGTGTCCCTCAGATCATTGCGATTCAAAGCTCCTGCCATTTAGCACTGCAGCTGCTATGGACGGACGTGTCGCTTAATACCAGGCGCACAACCCGTTCGTCCTGTAACTTGGTATCATAAAAAAAATATTGTACCATGCCTTTATGAAAAGATCTTTATTAAAAATCTACCTGACGTAACGTACGAATATGTCGTTTAAATTAAGCTGGCTAAGCGACGTTTTGATAATTGCATAAAATTGTTTATTTACAGGTGGTGACACTGGCGCTATATACTTACTTTGTGGCTGCGCTGATGGGGCGGCAGTTGGTGCCTCCTGCCCCAGGTAGCACCTCGAAATATGAACCCGATGTTTATTTCCCCCTGTTTACAGCGTTACAGGTAATATTTTTTTGTTATGTAATGATGAAATAAACACTTTTTGCCTAACTGTATTAATTGCACAACTGCACCGTGTTGCCATGTTTAATGAAGTACCTAATGGAGGGGTGTCTGTTTCTGACTACTTTCCTTTGATCGGTCGATTGATATAGATTAATCCTTGCTTTGTTATGTTTTGCGGTTTTATACATTTTAACGTCGTAATATGTCTGGTTTTCTCTTGCAGTTTTGTTTTTATGTCGGATGGCTGAAAGTTGCAGAAGTACTTATAAATCCTTTTGGTGAAGACGACGACGACATCGAATTAAATTGGCTTATAGACAGACATATAAAGGTAATTTCTTTGCTCGCTTACGTATTTATGTATAACATTTATGTAAACATTTATAGTAGATAATATTGATAATTTTCGTAACATTATTATTTATTATATACAAACATTAACGTACAGTTTAAACTTGACCGAAGTGGATGTCACTTACTGTACAAAAATAAATTTG